TTCTGTACGTGACGTGATTGTCACCGTGAGTCCATCACTGCCAGCGTCCTGTTCTGTACGTGACGTGATTGTCACCGTGAGTCCATCACTGCCAGGCCACAGGTAAGATGTACTGTGCTGTCCACTTGCAGCCATGTGGCATCTGACAGGATGCAAGAAGCAGCAGGGAGGTGCCTGTCCAAGAGCTCTGACAACTTTATGTGTAATCAGTCACTCAAGTTATCGAGAAAATGGCTACTGTGGAGAGATTCAGGCATCTGGGTCAGTTGTGAAACCAAATCCAAAGCACTTTTCTCAGACAGATGTATCAAACTACTGAGAAATTGCTCGTGAGACTTTGTCCAGCTCAGAAGCATGAGTGCAAAGGATGGCAGAGCAATGTCTCCTACCACTGGCCTTTCGGAGCAGGCATGGAGGCCGCGCTGGGCCCGCACAGGAGGGGCTGCCCCTCCAGCTCCTGCCCACCAATAGGGACCATTGGAGACACTGGCATACACCACAGTCTCGCTTCCCTCTTCCCACCTCTCTCCCTCCCACATATACAAACACAAAACCAACTACCATGGTACTCTGACTCACATCAATCCCCATGTCTAGGATCTCTCTCTCTCTCTTTCTCTCTCTCTCTCTCTCTCACACACACTCAGCAGCCAGTTGAGATCCTCAGGCAAACCAGGGGCTGGGGATTCTGATGTGGAACCTGGAAAGACACCTGATGTCCAACAGCTCTGGGGCCTGACGGTCAGGCTGGGTCCTGTGTGCGGTCACGTGTGTGCTCTCATCTGACACCTCCTGTCCCATGGGGTCTAGGGAAGGTAAGTCTTCACTATGGAGAAGAATTGAAGACCTGGGGAGTCGCAGGCAAGACCCATGTTCTAGCACTCTTGCACATGCACACATCTCTCCGTGGACACCCCAGGCTGCACACGTCTCTCAGTGGACACACCCGTGCTTCGGCCAGGAAGCACTGGTGACCACAGTGCGTCTCACCAAAGGCCAACAGCAGAAAGAGATGAGAGATGCCTTCTCAGTCCTCCTGAAGCACAGCAGAAAGGCAGAGTGCTTCCAGTGGTAACACTGGCTCAGGAGCACCCACACCCCAAGTCAAATGTGCCAGAGCACCTTCAGCACCACATGACCAGGCCTCCTCCCTCAGCCTCCCTGCAGCCGACAGCCTACCCTGAGGTGGCTCTGCCAGTCAGGAAGGCTCCTGTGGGCCAAACGCCCGCCGCAGTGTGGACAGTGGCCGGCCGTCCTCATCCAGAGGCAGGGGCGGGCAGAGGACAGGAAGGTGAGCTATCGCTGAGCAGATGTAAGTGTGTCAGAAGAGGACCACGGACAGCAACAGCAAGAGGGAAGAGCAAAGCAAAGCAGACCCCAGAAGATCTCAGGGCAGCGACATGACATCAACCTGTCCAACAAGATGCACAAGAATGGCTGGGAGCTAACGACAGATGGGGCTGTGCTCAGAGCCAACACCAAGACAGAACAGAAGCTTCTCCAAGACCCACACTGCACTTTGTACTGGTGAAGGCCGGAGCCCCAAGGAGAGGAGCAGGAGGTGGCAGGGAAGATCCCCTTGAAACAGAGCATGACACTGGTGGAAATGGCTGTCTAGAATTCTGCTCTATAGGAAAGTGTAAAGGGAAAAATGATAACCAAGTGGCAGACATGCTTGCAATCCTCCCAGCTCAACCTCTTTAGAAAGTAGATCTATCTGTAATCCACAGAAAGCACTTACCCAGAACCTCCATGAAGAAGAAGGCTACAAACGGCAGACACTGAAAAGAGATTTCCTTTTGTGGAATTATTAAACAGCACCATGCACACGGTGTCCAGGCCCGCAGGGGCCAGCACCATGAACACGGCGTCCAGGTCCTGTGCACACGGCGTCCAGGTCCCGTGCACACGGCGTCCAGGTCCCGTGCACACGGCGTCCAGGTCCGGTGCACACGGTGTCCAGGTCTTGTGCACACGGTGTCCAGGTCCCTGCACATGATGTCCAGGCCTGCAGGGGCCAGCACCACGCCCTACACACATGGCATTTGGGCCCACAGAGTGCAGAGCCATGCACAACATGCATTTCCTGTCCCCTCCAGCTGTGTGCAGTGCTAACATACCTCACAGCACGTGTTTATGGTACCTAGCAAACATGGGCAACTTGGAGCTATCAAGGCCTTTGCCCGATGTGTCTGCCATAGAGACACTGGCTGTCAGGGTCCCAGACATTTCTGTCTCTAAGGAGGTACACTCGGCTCTCGGAGGTGCCTGACCTCCAGGACTTCTGTAACATACATCTTCCCAGCACAGTGGGGGAGGGCCTGAGAAGGCTCCACTGCGGCCTTAATGCACGTAGTCCACGTGCACACTGAGATGATATTTTCTTTTCCTTCATTCTTTCTCGTTTAACAGGAGTGCAGCAGAGAGGGTGGGGGAGGTGGGGGCTAGCAGAGGGGGCACTCAGCACACAAGCTGAGAACTAGTTGTCCAGGAGACTGCGGCCCTGCCACAGACCCTGCAGCAGCATGCACCCACCCACCCCAATCAGCCCGTGGACCAGGAGAAGCCACTGGTGCAGACAGACTGCCAGTTCACAGTCTGAGTTAGCCGCTTCACCTCTATTGCTTATCTCAAAGCTCCCAGTGGCACATCATAAACCTGCACTCACAAGCAGGGACAAGCCAATTGCTAGGATGGGCAACTTGGTTCTCTTCTTACATACATGTTGGACTCAGATCCCGGTAATCCACACAGAGTTTGATAGCTCTCCTCTAAGTCATTTCCCACTTCACAGTGTTCTACCTCACATCCTTTTGAAGTAAATCTATTTGAAAACTAAATGGCCAGTTGCTAGTAATGACAATTACTTATTTGTCGTGAGGAAAACATTTCACACATGGTGTGTGTGTGTGTGTGTGTGTGTGTGTGTGTGTGAGTGTGAGCACGTGCACTGAGGCTGGAACTCAGGGCCTCTTGTCTGGCTTTGTCCTCTGCCAATGAGCCATACCTCTACATCGAGATTTTTGCTGGTTAACTGGAAATACTGGCACCCGGCTTACATATCAAATTTTTAAACAAAGCAATTTATTGAAATAAAAATTAACTTTTAGCCTTAAGTTGTATTAAGCTTCCTTAACTTTCTTTTTTTTTGCTGGGCACTGGTGGCTCACACCTGTAATCCTAGCTACTGAGGAGGCTGAGATCTGAGGATCACGGTTCAAAGCCAGTCCGGGCAGGAAAGTCCGTGAGACTCTTATGGCCAATAAGCCACCAGAAAACTGGAAGTGGTGCTGTGGCTCAAGTGGTAGAACACTAACCTTGAGCTGAAGAGCTGAGGGACAGCACCAGGTACAGAGTTCAAATCCCACAACAGATAAATAAATAAATAAATAAATGTTTTAACCTCTGGCTGGGCTCCTTGGTGGCTCAGGTCTGCAATCCTAGCTACTCAAGAGACTGAGATCTGAGAATCAATATTTTAAGATAGCTTGGGCAAGAAAGTATGTAAGACTCTTACCTCCAACTGAGCACCAAAAAAATCCAGATCAAAGGTCAAGTGGTAGAGCTAGTCTTGAGCAAAAAAGTTTAGGGACAGTGCCCAGGGCTGAGTTCAAGCCCCAGTACTAGCACCAAATACAACAAAAAATAGACCAAAAAAATGACTTAATACTCAATTTATGCAACCAATATATATTATAACCCTCACAAAATCTTCTATGCCTCATAAAAACAAAGATATAGTAATTTGGAATTACTAATACAATCTAAAATCTAAAGCCATAGCCTGCCTGCCTACTACAAATGATGAACACACCTGAAAGAGCGCACAGTCATCCTTGTACAGATACTCCTTTGTTCACAGGCATCCGGGAGGATTGTCGCATAAGGACATTAACTGCTCTGCATCGACCACACTCACCACAGCCATGGAGCAATAAGTCCACTTTAATTGCCAATTCACTGTGCTAACCCTCCTGTAAACTAGGCTGGAGAGGTCTCAACAAGAGAGCCCCTGTAAACTACTTAAAATGTTGAAGGTGCTTAAAATGCCTCTTTTTTTTTTCCTTTTGGTCATGGGGCCTGAACTCTGGGCCTGGGCACTGTCCCTCAGCTCTTCAGCTCAAGGCTAACATGCTACCACTTGAGCCACAGCACCACTTCCGGCTTTTTTCTGTTTATATGGTGCTGAGGAATCGAACCCAGGGCCTCATACATGCAAGGCAAGCGCTCTACCCCTGAGCCACCTTCCCAGCCCCTAAAATGCCTCTTATTAAAAACAAAAACAAAAACAACAGCTGGAAAGAGCAATTTCAGTGAAGAGACCCACTCCTTTAATTTTACCAATCAAAACCTAAAGTACCCACACGACAAGCTGCAGTTAAGTTGTTAGAATTGCTTGATGGGCCAGGTGTTGGTGGCTCACGCCTGTCATCCTAGCTACTGAGGAGGCTGAGATCAAAGCCAACCTGGGCAGAAAAGTCCATGAGACTCTCAGTCCAAAAAAACACCAGAAAAACTGGCATGTGGCTCAAGTGGTAGCGTGCTAGCCTTGAGCTGGAAAGCTCAGGGACAGAGCCCAGGCCCAGAGTTCAAGCCCCACAACCGACAAAAAAAAAAGAATTTCCTGATGGAAAGTTTTACCTTTGCATTTTATTGCTGATTCTTAAAAATAACTTGGGAGGTGCTGCCGTGGCCAGGTGTCCGTCCACTGCTGCCATCTCCTGGCCGGGCCCATTCTTGTTCCAGGGTCTCTGTCCTTCGTAGGCTCCCACCCACTCCTTCACTTCAAGGAAAAACAAGTTATTGTTGCATAGGTCTCTGTATAACACAGCTGCCCTTTAGTGCATGTGTGCTGTTCCTGGGGACTGAACCCAGGGCTTGGGCACTGTCTGTGACCTGTTTTGCTCAAGGCTAGTGTTCTACAACTTGAGCCTTAGCTCCACTTCCTGCAACTGTCCTTTGTTTAAGAAGCAATTTTCCAAAATAAAACAATATTTTTAAAAAACCCACTAAAGCACAAGATGTGAGGGACAAGGTGAACCTAAACCCGTGTAACATCCACCTCCCCTATTATGTCGACATCTCTTCAATCACAGCCAAGGGATAGACAAGCTACTAAAAACTTGCATGGTCAATAATCAATACTTCATGAGGCTTATTCAATCTTCAAAAATTACTAACAATGGGGTAAACAGCCTCAAATTCAAATTCTAGGTCTATGGGCTTGGAAAAGGAACACTGGCTGGAGGCAGTCACAATCTACCCAGAGGTAGCCAGGACTCTCCTCTCCTCGCCCCTCCACGTTTGTCCCCTCCCCATGCCAGGTCCTAGGCTTTTCTATTCCCCTATGAGGCAGAAGGAGCAGATTCAGGCCAGCGCTCAAGTAACTACAATGCCATACTGCCCTTGTTGGTGTGGGAAGGGTGGTTCAGGGTGAAGACACAGAACCAAAGACAGAGAGAAGAAAATTCCTGGCAACTTTTAGAAGTAAGAAGCTTAAGGAAGTGACCACTCCAGTCACTTTCTCAATCATACAGAGATCATGTGAGCAGAGAGGATAAAGAGGCACAGGCTTTCTGGGCAGCAGCACAAGCTGTGGTTCCCAGCCGTCCCAAGGCCGCAATGGCCTGTGACTGCACCCTCAAGAGAAATGCTGGGAGGAAGAGGTGAACGGCGGCCTTGAGCAGAAGAAGCTAAGTGAGACTGGGGCCCTGAGTTCAAGCCCCATTACACACACACACACACACACACACACACAC